TATTATACACCTGAACTGATTTGTAGAATTTTATAAACTGTTTAAAGTAAGTTATTATACATCTGAACTGATTTGTAGAATTTCAGTTTGTTAGGCTGAAAATTAAATCTACAAAATGGGCACTCTCTACCGTGACGAATCGAACAGTGAATGTTAACATTTTATGTTTTTTTAGCTTACCAGTGATTCACCAGGGGGCTTGAATTATTGAAAGATATAAAACTCATATTGAAAGATCTTATAATGTATAGATTACTTATAATGTGTATAATTTAACACTTAATTTTTGGATAAGGTAAAAATTGTGCTTGGAAAGTACCACGGTCATGATTTATGTTTAATTATTCTTTCTCACTTCACTTAAACTCTTTATATTATGATATCTACATATGAAGTGATTACTGAACAACAAGAACTCATCTTTCGTGAGTTATATTCAACTTCAACTTACCCGCCATTCCTATTTTGAGATAAAAAATGCCCCCATGACGCCCCTTAAGAAACAGGTAGGGCGGAGTGTCTTTGTTTCTCCTATCAACAAAAACGTTGGCCGTCTGACTTCTGCGGATCTCGCCCTCTTCCATGGATTTGTTCAATTCAAGAACTCCATGTTCTTTATAGCGGTGAATATCAAAGTGTACAAATATCAGCCAGATAATTCCTAGAACAGCAACGACGATGCTGAATATCTAGACGACAAAGTTAAGAACAGCAAAATTATGTTGATCAATATTCGGAAACAACAATAATAAATGTTTTATTCTAAAAACTATCCCAGTCTTACACTAAGCAGGATTAGGTTTTATTGTAAACTGTCACAGCCCTACAATAAAAAGGATTTGGTTTTAACAAAGTCCTATAATAAGCAGAGTTGGTTTTACCACAGTCTTACACTGAGCAGAGTTGGTTTTACCACAGTCTTACACTGAGCAGAGTCTGGTTTTACCACAGTCCTATAATAAGCAGAGTCTGGTTTTACCACAGTCTTACACTGAGCAGAGTTGGTTTTACCACAGTCCTATAATAAGCAGAGTCTGGTTTTACCACAGTCTTACACTAAGCAGAGTTGGTTTTACCACAGTCCTACACTGAGCACAGTTGGTTTTACCAAAGTCCTATAATAAGCAGAGTCTGGTTTTACCACAGTCTTACACTGAGCAGAGTTGGTTGTACCACAGTCTTACAATGAATAGAGTCTGATGTTACAATAGTCCTACACTAAACAGAGTTTGTCTTTAGTTAAACTATCAAGTCCTATACAAAGTAACCTCGAATACTGTTGTTAACAAAACTTATTTGCAATAGATACGAAGTTATTTTAGAACTGAGGTTAACCGCCTGGCAGAAACGTTTTTTGCACAAGTTTTAATAACCAAATCTTCAATTCAAATTAACAACTGATTCAATGTTTTTTTTCAAATTGTTGTAAACTATTCGGAGAAATAACAAACTTCTGTTAAGTCCTTTTCTTCTGGATCTTAAAGTCTTCTCTAAACTCCTTTTCTTCTGGAGCTTAAAGTCTTTTGTTAAGTCCTTTTCCTCTGGAGCTTAAAGTCTTCTCTAAACTCCTTTTCTTCTGGATCTTAAAGTCTTCTCTAAACTCCTTTTCTTCTGGAGCTTAAAGTCTTTTGTTCAGTACTTTTCCTCTGGAGCTTAAAGTCTTCTGTTAACTCCTTTTCCTCTGGAGCTTAAAGTCTTTTGTTCAGTACTTTTCCTCTGGAACTTAAAGTCTTCTGTTAAGTCCTTTTCCTCTGGAACTTAAAATCTTCTCTTAACTCCTTTTCTTCTGGAGCTTAAAGTCTTTTGTAAGTCCTTTTCCTCTGGAGCTTAAAGTCTTCTGTTAAGTAATTTTCCTCTGGAGCTTAAAGTCTTTTGTTAAGTCCTTTTCCTCTGGAGCTTAAAGTCTTCTGTTAAGTAATTTTCCTCTGGAACTTAAAGTATTCTGTTAAGTCCTTTTCCTCTGGAACTTAAAGTCTTTTGTTAAGTCCTTTTCCTCGGGAACTTAAAGTCTTCTCTTAACCCTTTTCTTCTGGAGCTTAAAGGCTTTTGTTAAGTCCTTTTCCTCTGGAGCTTAAAGTCTTCTGTTAAGTAATTTTCCTCTGGAGCTTAAAGTCTTCTGTTAAGTCCTTTTCCTCTGGAGCTTAAAGTCTTCTGTTAACTCCTTTTCCTCTGGAGCTTAAAGTCTTTTGTTAACTCCTTTTCCTCTGGAGCTTAAAGTCTTTGTTAACTCCTTTTCCTCTGGAGCTTAAAGTCTTTGTTAACTCCTTTTCCTCTGGAGCTTAAAGTCTTCTGTTAACTCCTTTTCCTCTGGAGCTTAAAGTCTTTTGTTAACTCCTTTTCCTCTGGAACTGAAATGTGAATGTTATGTAAGGTTTTGGGAACGGTTAAGATAAGTCATGAATATCGTGTGAATGACGAACATTTTTATTCTATTTTGTAAACGAAATAAAACTTTTCTCTTTACTTCATGTTAAATTAGGTAACATTTACCACGTGTTTGTTTTAACGCAAAGCTACACAATAGGCTATCTGCGCTGTGCCCACCACGGATTCTAGTGCTGTAAGTCTCTAAACTTACCGCTGACCCACTAGAAGTTATAAAATAATTAAGGCCTTAAATTACTTACACGGTTTCATTTAAAAATGATTTAATATGATTCATAAAGAATTTAGGAAAGACAAGAAAAAATAGGTGAAACTTTTCCTAGTTCTCACTTCGAAAGTCCCAGAATTATCTAATCACCGCTTCAAATATAGTAAAATGATTTCTGAATCTCACCTCAGCTTTGTATCTTCTTGTCTTGCTTTGATCAGCCAGAGTAATCAGGCCTCCTAGCGTCACCAAAAACACAGCATAGATAATACTTGTAAGAACAGAGAGATTTTTACTGAAAAAAAATATTGACAAAAAAAAGTGCATCAACATGGAAATTCCATTTTCGTTTAACTAGAACTTTATTAAACAAACAGTAAGTAATGTCTACAGAACGATTGAAAATATCTTACTTTGATACAATACAAACTATACTTGCTTTAGAAGTAGTGGTTTAAAAGTTGAAAGCTGACAAAGCATCAGAAACCAGTATACCCAAAATTTGTGACAAAAATCACACTAACTACAGTTGTACAACATATTTTAATTGTAATAATAAGATGACTTACTGTACAGGAATACAATGCAATAATACATTGTATTGTTACTATAAGGAGTATTAACTTACTGTTACAGGAGTACAGTGTATTGTTACTATAAGAATGTATTGTTTTAATGTTTGTCACTTACTTCACAGTGTTCTTCACTATAGTTGGATCCTCTAGCTGAGGTACACTTGGAAAGGCACTCTGTTTACGTTTGGAAAAGGACATGTCTTGGGAGAAAAAACTCTGTTTATTTGTTATGGTTAAAATATTATTATCACTTTCAACACTATTTAAATCAAAGTCGTTTGATCCATAGTCACTGTCTTCGTTTTTAGCTGTCATATTGTCAGAACGGACACAGATCGTCGTCTGGTTAGATTTCTCTAAGGATACACAGCTTGTTGTCTGGTTAGACTCCTCTAAAGATACACAGTTTGATGCCTGGTTAGACTCCTCTAAAAATACACAGCTTGTTGTCTGGTTAGACTCCTCTAAAGATACACAGTTTGATGTCAGGTTAGACTCCTCTAAAGATACATAGCTTGATGTCAGGTTAGACTCCTCTAAAGATACACAGTTTGATGTCTGGTTAGACTCCTCTAAAGATACACAGCTTGTTGTCTGGTTAGACTCCTCTAAGGATACACAGCTTGTTGTCTGGTTAGACTCCTCTAAGGACACACAGCCTAATGTCCGTTCGAGTTTTCTTTAAAATGCACAACTCGGCTTTATTCTTTGTTCGTTGTATACATTAGAATTGATGTCGGGGCCCGTTTTGTTTCATCAAAATAAAAATAGCTGAAGAACATCGAAAGTTGTTAGGAATGAATAACTAATGCATATTTTAAAAAATGTATCAGTATTGAAAACGAAACTCATATTTTTCGAAACAATATATTTACTAAAATCACCGTATAAAATAACAAAACATTTTCCTGCTATGAAAGGTTTAAATATTTCACTGTATTTTTTGTCCGTCTAAGAATTCATCCCTTTATTTATCTCATCAAACACATTTGTGTAATTGTTTTTAGTTCTAACCTATTGTTACGTCACTGGTCGTTTGTTAATTTCCCGTAAAATTCTTTCCGAGAAACTTCAGCGATACAGGTCCTTTCTTAATTAAAACTAGTTTATTCTTTCTCGTTACAAACTTTGTAATACA